CTAAATTATTTTCTTGAAAATAATAAAAATAGATATGTTGATCCTTAAAGTACCTAAAATGTCACGAGAAATATCAAATCAGGTTTTACCATTATATGGTTGTAATATGCCTAATAGTTGGTTAATGTCTTTGAACTTATAAACACAATACTTTGCACATACCAAATACCAAAATGTATATCACAGAGAAAACTAATATACTAATATCTTTGCAAAATTCGATCATTAACTTCCTATGGAAATAGAACAATTATCAAAAAAAAACATGATATTACATATTCGTATTAAACACGTGATTATAAAATGTCAAATACCTCAATATGTCAACTTCTGATATATTAAATGAGGACATCTAATAACATGTAAACATTTTGTTAAGGTCTAACTTTGTAGATTCCCTAAATCGGTGGGGACAATAGTAGGTTGTCCATGTTCTGAAAAAATAATGTTCAAAATTACAGACATGCCGATAATTAAACGGGAAATATTTATGGTGCCCTTTAATATGTTAGGCCTAAAGTTTTTAACATTTTCATTACCAAATATCTTATGAGTAGTAGAAATGTATGTATGATAATAATGTATATCCAAATTTCAAAGTTCTATCTTAAATCGTGTAGGGTATAAAAAGCTAATGTAATATTGGGCTACCGTTATATGAAAGTCTTATAAATATATTGGGTTAAATGTAATTAAATAATTTAAATTTATTTTCCACGAATTCAATTATATCTACCGAAACTTTAGAAGACCAAAATAGCAACAAGACTCGCTCATAAACATAAAATTTTATATATACAGTACTGTAATGTTATTTTATGTGTGTTCGAACAAATACCAAGTTATTACAAAAATCTGTGGAGGGTATAAAAACCAACCAAAAAAGACGAAAATTATACATCAACTATATTGCTAAGCAAGACAACGTTTGCCAGGCCCGCTAATCTATATATGTATATAAATGCATTGCTGTTCGTTAGTCTCGCTAAAACTCGAGAACGGCTGAACGGATTTTTCTTATCATAGTCTTCAAATGTTCGTGGAGCTCCAGGGAAGGTTTAAAAGGTGAGAAAATCGAAAACCGCGAAAAATTTGCAAAAAAAATCATTATGAAGAATACTTGCATTTCCACGAATTTTGTTTCGAGCTATTTTGATTGCACCACGCCTTAGTTGCTGTTGTTAGATATTTTGGGGTAAAATGGTTGGTGGATCATTCCTCAAAGCTTTCATTTGTCAATTATTTAAAAATTTCCAAATATTTTAATTTTTTTAATTGGATTGACATTGTATTGAAACTATTTTATTTTAGAATATAGAAAATAACTGAGAAGTATATCGTTGAATGTACACGCTATCATTGTATATACACGTTATCCGTAAATTACATTTTGGAACAAACGCAAGGATGCAAATCAGAAGACATTCGGAATAGATTTCTGATTCTATGATCCATGACCTAGATTATTTTTATTGAAAAGAATAATAATAGTCCCATAGGGCCACGTTGTTCCTTAAAATACCAAAAATGTTGCTATGCCACGGGAAATTTCAAATCAGGTGTTACCATTATATGGTGGTTATATGCCTAATCGTTGGTCAATGTTTTTGAACTTATAAACACACCTCCTCTATATATCCAATACCAAAAATGTTTATCACAGAGAAAACTAATTTACAATGTTATTTTCTTTCCAAAATTCTATCGCTAAGAACAACTATCAAAAAACAGCAAAGTTAAAAAAAATCGGTCAAAAACATTTATTATAACAATTGAAGATCAGACTACAAAATTACAAATTCCTTAATATGTCTACTACGATGTATATAGTATTATGAGGTTGTAGGTTGTCCGTGCTCTGAAAAAATAATATTAAAAATTACAGGGACTCAGGTTTTAAACATACCGATAATTAAACAGGAAATATTTGTGGCATATTTTTAAAACTTTAAGCTATAGTGCATAATTTCTGGGAATAAGTTTTTCATTCGAATTCGGCTCAGGAATCCGTTATGTCAAACTGTAGAGGAAAATTCAGCCAAAGTCTTTATAATAACGAAAATGGGGCGGAACCTGTATGTAGGAGCATTATCAAAACTTTAACCTAAATAGAACAATTTCCGTAAAAATGTGACATATTACAGCTACTACGATGGTATTAGATATACATTAATAGTACCGTTGTATGAAAGCTACCTCAAAAAATGGACCAATATTGATCATTTTTGGTAGGATTCATTCTACCAAATAAAACAACCAAATGCCAAATTTCGGCTGATTAGATTAAAAACTTGCCCAAATCCCCCACAGCATCGAAAAATGTAGAGTACTATTACATATGTAGTGAGATTTTCTGCTCAATAAGTATCCCTAATATTAAATTAGATGCAATTATTTTAAATATGGGGGTGCCGTTATATGGGATGTACCCTAAAAAGTGAACAATAGGAGTAGTAATTTTTGTGCAAATTACAAAGCAATATCTTAAATATTGGAGGGTAAAAAAAGCTTACTTAACATTGGGCTACCGCTATGAGCAGGTCTTATAAATATATTGGAAAAATGTAGTTCATTCCCAAAATTTAATTGATATGTGCATTTAAATTTATTAAATTTAAATTATTTTCACGAATTCAAATATGAATAAATTATAAACATCAAATTGTAGATATTCAGTACTGTAATGACACATGTATGCTCTGATAAATACCAAGGTCCAGGATCTGTACACTCCACCTTATGGTGTAGAGTATAAATATTGCTGGGCAAGACAACGTTTGCCGGGCCCGCTAGTAATAAATAAATATAAATAATTTCGGGTAAGGAACTTCTCACCATATCATCATATTGAATATTTTCGTATTTTTTTAAGCCTTTAGGGGCCTAAGCCTACATATCCTTATTATAAAGTAACTGTTTGCATTTCGGCGTTTTTTTATATTCGAAAGTTTACTTCTTCTCAACAAACCTATGAAAAATTTATATGTATAACTAGCGGGCCCGGGAAACGTTGTCTTGCCCATCAATATTTATACTCTACACCATAAGGTGGAGTGTACAGATCTTGGACCTTGGTATTTATCAGAGCATACATGTGTCATTACAGTACTGAATATCTACAATTTGATGTTTATAATTTATTAATATTTGAATTCGTGAAAATAATTTAAATTTAATAAATTTAAATGCTCATATAAATTAGATTTTGGGAATGAACTACCCTTTTTTCCAATATATTTATAAGACCTGCTCATAACGGTAGCCCAATGTTAAGTAAGCTTTTTTTACCCTCCAATATTTAAGATAGTGCTTTGTAATTTGCATCCCATATAACGGCACCCCCATATTTAAAAGAATTACATCTAATTTAATATTAGGGATACTTATTGAGCAGAAAATCTCACTACATATGTAATAGTACTCTACATTTTTCGATGCTGTGGCGGATTTGGGCAAGTTTTTAAATCTAATCAGCCGAAATTTGGCAATTTGATGTTTTATTTGGTAGAATGAATCCTACTAAAAATGGTCAATATTGGTCCACTTTTTGAGGTAGCTTTCATACAACGGTACCATTAATGTATATCCATTCCCATCGTAGTAGCTGTAATATGTCACATTTTTACGGAAATTGTTCTATTTAGGTTAAAGTTTGGATAATGCTCCTACATACAGGTTCCGCCCCATTTTCGTTATTATAAAGACTTTGGCTGAATTTTCCTCTAAAGTTTGACATAACGGATTCCTGAGCCGAATTCGAATGAAAAACTTATTCCCAGAAATTATGCGCTATTGCTTAAAGTTTTAAAAATACGCCACAAATATTTCCTGTTTAATTATCGGTATGTTTAAAACCTAAGTCCCTGTAATTTTTAATAATATTTTTTCAGAGCACGGACAACCTACAACCTCATAATGCTATATACATCGGTAGTAGACATATTAAGGTATTTGTATTTTGTAGTCTGATCTTCAATTGTTATAATAAATGTTTTTGAGCGATTTTTTTTAATTTTGCTGTTCTTTAATAGTTGTTCTTAGTGAATTTTGGAAGGAAAATAACATTGTAAATTAGTTTTCTCTATGAAAAACATTTTTGGTATCGGATATATTGGAGGTGTTGTGTTTAAAAGTTCAAAAACATTGACCAACGATAAGGCATATAACCACCATATAACACCTGATTTGAAATTTCCTGTGGCATAGCAACATTTTAGGTACTTTAAGGAACAACGTGACCCTATATAACTATTATTATTCTTTTCAAGAAAAATAATCTAGGTCACGGATCATAGAATCAGAAATCTATTCCAAATGTCTTCTGATTTGCATCCTTGCGTTTGTTCCAAAATGCAATTTACGGATAAGGTGTACATACAATGATAGCGTGTACATTCAACGATATACTTCTCAGTTATTTATTGTATTCTAACATAAAATAGTTTTAATACAATATCAATCCAATTGAAAAAAATAAATAATAAAATATTTGGAAAATTTTTCAATAATCGACAAATGTAGTATTAAAGGAATGATACGCGGCCAATTTTTGCCCAAAATGTCTCAAAATAACATCTGTGACATGGTGCAACCAAAATAGCTCGATAATAAATTCGTGGAAATGCAAATATGCTTTATAATTTTTTTTTGCAAAATTTTCGCGATTTTCAAATCTTTTGAACCTTTTAAACCTTCCCTGAAGCTCCACTAACGTTTCATGACTAAGATAAGAAAAATCCTTTCAGCCGTTTTTGAGTTTTAGCGAGACTAACGAACAGCAATTCATTTTTATATATATATAGATAGATAAGTTAATATAATGTCAGCTTACTGTATAAATGTGAGATATAAGAAATTACAAGATATTTTTAATACTATTTTCTCACAAATTTATTTAATGCAATGAAACTCTACATTAACATGTTTTAGATAAAATTAGACTTAAAAGTAAATTGGTCAGATAAATATTTACATTATTCAAGCTTTCAACAACAGGATACCCGATTTAGAGAACTTTGGCATATTTTTGGTTGATATACGCCTTTGTGTGGTAGTTATGTGGTCGAATTGATGCAGCTAACGTCTGAATTAATTGATGATCCCTCTTGCTGGAAGATTCAAAGTCCAGGCTTCGTACACTGTAAGAATAGATACGAGAAATTGTTTAATATATATTTTATAATTTACTGTTTTAAGTTTCTCCACTCTTAGCATATTATTTAATTTTATTAATGATAATAATATAATATTAATAAGTAAAAATCCATATACATACAAATTAATAATTGTTTATCACAATAATATAATTAATTTTATAAATAAAAATTTGAACTTAAAACAACTCCACTCCATCACGAGATGTCATACATAATACATACTAAAAGACTTTTATATGGGGGCTATGTCAATAAATATTTTTATCACTTGTTGGCATACATTAGCTATAACATAGCGAATGTTGGATGTTTATCACTATTTTTTGTAACAGTTTTTGATAATTTCAATTTGTCAATATTAAACCAAAAATTGATTTTACAACTTATTGGAACAAATGTCTCATACCTAGAAACCAGGAATGGGTAACCATTTATTTGACATAAAATATCAAATATATCCCACTCGGTTAAAAATTCGTCCTCAAACTATAATTATATATTACTTCAAAATGTCATCTTAATTATCACGACGACGTGGTTTCAACAGACAAACTTGGCTAAACCGACAGAACATGATCAAAAATATGGGGTCTCTGACAATATTTCGAGGTGTTACTAACGGAATGACTCTATCTTATGGAAGAGAGCATGTCATAATAAGGAAGATAGTCTCGTGCACTGATATGTTCAAATTTTTTTTCTTGCTGTACCTTCATTGTCAAAAATTATAATTTTATTACCCCAAATTAATGTCAGTGACTCTCTGTCATAATTAAGCAAAGTTTTTTAATGGAAATAAAGATTTTTTAAATTGTAAAAGTATTTTATTATTTTATTGAGTATTGTTCCACTGACAAGTGATTTGTTGTTGCAATTTTTGTATCTGTACAAGTGATGTACCAATTCTAACTACGGGAAACGTCTGAATTTAATAAAAAAAATGGAAAATAATTCTTAATTCAACAGGAATATTAGAATTTCTAGCGGAATTTAAAAATATGAAAATTGTAGTAAAAAATATTACAAAGACATCTTATTTTAAATACTTAATAAAAAGAGCAGGGTAGAAATTGGATAGAATATGAGTGATAGTCAAATCGACATTGACAATTCTCAATATTCCCTAAAACAGGATATAAAATTGGCATAATATTGAGAGTTTGTACCAGTATAAATTTTATGTAATTTAAGATGTCTATTGAAAAAGCCTGTATTTATTGATAGTAAATAAAAAAATGGTAAATAATATTATCCTGTATTACAAAGTGCGAGGTGCGCGATTTTCCTAGGGTGCCGATAGAAAGACGATACAAACAATAGCGAAAGGATCAACGGTCAAAACATGAAATAATGTATGGTATTTCGTTGAATTCTATTGCAATTTGATTAAAATTAACATTTTTGGTTAGACAACCCATTTCTAACAATTTTTGAGCGTTTATATTTACGAAAATCACTCGATCTCAAATGTAAATTACAGATCATATACATAAAATACAATCCACTGGATTTGGGAACATGATTAAGGTGACGAATACGCCATTTTGGTAAAAAAACATTTTGGGATAGTCGTTACTCGAAATAGTAACGACTACAAATTATGGAATACTAAGACGATTTAGCCACCGGTTTTAATCATTCCGCTTTCCAAGGAAATCGTGATAAAAAAACTCGAACCTGACGATAATAAAATATATCGGCCATGCGTTATTAGTATCAGTCCACGCTTTGGGAAAATTGAGGACTTTGAATATCAGAAACGATAAGGAAATTATGTATAAATTTTCCGGACTTTCTGCAAACCCATGGAAGCACTTCCATACAACACTAATATCGTAGCTACGATAGCCGTGCCTAATGGGTGTGGAGGACTTCGTCAATTCTGAAATAAAAGAATTATTAAAAATTGAATAATAAGACCCTCTACCACCTTAATATAACGCAAGAAAATGTCTCGCCATTGATTTCAGTAAACTAAATAATGTTACTGTGGAAGATAAATGTCCTATCTCGGAGGTCTGAGTTATTCTATAGAACCTTGGTAAAGCATGGTACATCACAACAGCAACGTACACAGGATTTCATTTCTGGGGGGGCCCGTCAGTACAAAATGAAAAAATTCGCTGTTGCAAACATAAATTTACTGTGAAAAAAATTCATTTGGGGGGGGGGGGGGCCGGGCCCCCCTTGCGTACGTCCCTGCATCACAACACTTGTTGTGAAATCGGGATTATATCAGAACATGATCAAGCGAAAACATCATTTTTGGTGGCAACGGTAAGTATACATTTTACATACTTCCTATTTGGCAGAAGAATGCTCCCATGGATTGAGAGAGCGAATTTAACTGTTGTGTTATTGAGAATTTGCCATTCTTGCAAGGAAAATTTACTCAGTAAGAATTTTCTTGTACCATCAGCTGATATTTATTCAGCTGTTTTGTTATGTTTTATAAATAAATAAAATTGTTCTTAAGCATATTTATTGTTTTGTGAATTTTATTTTGATTTTGTAGCATAAAAATGGATGAAAAAACACAAGTAACAAATCGAGCAAATACATTAAAATTAGTTTGTCCCAACCCATCGCATTTTTGCATTAATTTCAATCTTCTTAATGTATAATATATTAGTGTTAAGTAAGTGGGTGACTGACAGATCATCGCCCAGACCAAACAGCTGAAGCTTGAAATTTTGAGTGTGGGTTGTTGTTGGTGTGTAGGCGTGAGATAACGCTGGGTTTTTGAAAATTTGAACTGTACTAAAATGTATCAAATATGGTACCGCTTGTATTAGACGAACGGGAAGAGCTAGAATTCTGAAATTTGGAATGTGGGTCACAGATGGAAAGTTAAAAAGATGTTTTTGAAAATTCGACCTATAAGTGTACGAAAAGTAGTAAACTTTACTAAATTTAGTTCTAATTGTATACATATTGAACATATATAGCTAAAATCTTGAAATTTTATATGGAATACAGGTTGTGAAGAGGTGTTGATGTATGGAAATGGTTTAAGAAATTGGTATTTATGTGTATAACAAGTACAAAATGGTTCTAATTTTGGTACTATTTGCATTTAGTTGAGCGTATAGAGATTGAATCCTGAAAATAGGAATTAGGACTACTGTTGGAGTACAGGATTGAGGTAGCTTAAAAATCATACTTATGTGTACGAAAAGTACTAAATTTGGGAATTAAAATGACAGTTGGAGTGTAGGATTGAGTAGTTTAGGAAATTCGTATTTATTGGTACGAAGAATGCTATATGGTACTAAATTTAGTATGATTTTGCTTGAACGGATAGAGCTGAAAACTGGAATTAAGATTACTGTTGAAGATTGAGCTATTGAGACATCTTTGGAAATTCGCAATTATGTGTACGAAAAGTACTAAACGGCAATAGATTTGGTAAAATTAGTATTTTGGTTAACGGAGAGAGCTCGAAACCTAAAATTTGGAATAATGGTGTTGGAACAAGCATTGAGAAATGGATACTTATGTGTACTAAATGGTACTATATTTGGTACAACTTGATCATGTGTGAACGGATTGAGCTGGACTTCAGGATTTTGGAATTAAAATTACTGTTGGAGTGTAGGATTGAGGTAGTTAGGAATTATAGAAACAAAAAGTACTAAATGGTACCAAATAGTTTACAAATTGTTTTTGTGTGAACAGATAGGGCTGAAATCCTGAAATTTTGAGTTAAAATTACAGTTGAATTGCAGGGTTGAGATATGTCGGTAGTTTTAAAAATTCGTCATTATGTGTACTAAATGGTACTAAATTTGGTACATTTTAGATTTGAGTAAACGAATAGAGATGGAAAACTTAAATTTGGAATGAAAATTACTTATGGATACGATAAGCACTAAATGGTACTTAATATGGTGTAGAATTGAATAGAATTGTTAGGAGTGTAGAATTGAGACATGGAGGTAGTTTAGAAAATGTGTAATATGGTATTAAGTTTAGTACAATTTAGATTTGAATGAAAGGATCGATATGGAAAACTTATATTTGAAAATAAAATTACTGTTAGAGTATAGTGTTGAAAATTCGAATTCATAAGTACGAAAAGTACTGAGTGGTACAAAATCTGGTACAATTTGATGTTTGGTGAACATATAGAGCTGGAATTCTTTAATTTGGACTAACGATTACTATTTGAAAGCAGGATTGAGGTAATTTTGGAAATACGTACTTAGGAGTATGAAAAAAAACTAAATTTGGTACAATTTGAACTTTGATGGAATAAGGATTTCGGTTAACGTGTAAGATTGATGTTGTTTTAGAAATTCTTACTTATGAGTATGAAAAGTGCTAAATGATACTAAATTTGGTACAATTTTGATTTGGGTGAATGGATAGAGCTGGAATCCTGAAATTTGGAATGTAGATTATTGATTAGGTGTAGGATTGAGCTACGGAAATTCATGTTCATTCGAGTTCATGTTTACGAATAGTATTGAATGCACTAATTTTAGTACAATTTTCATTTGGGTAACGCCGTGATATGCTAAACCTTTCCATATGATCAATTTCAAAAAATGTATTATACTGGAGTAAAAACTTTACTTCATCATGTCACCACGCGCCAATTGGGCGACCTATCTCTGGAACGGGCTATACCAAAACATGTCGTAAAATTGGGTTTATTTTAAAACTCGAGTCTGTATATCTTAAATATAGCATTCTAAAGGTACACAAAGTACTCAGTAAATGTTATTGGAGTATAGAAACAAAGGAAATGTATATCTTAAATATTGCGTGCTAAAAGTACAATGCAATTTTGTGTATATGGGAAATTACAAAAATCTTTTAAATTCCTTGAAGCTGAGGTTTGCAAGGTTATAACTCGCGAAATATGAACATATTGCATATAATTCAAATTCATTTCTATAAAATGAAGCGTTTTTGTCCAAATATTGGTAATAAATAATAAGTTGCGTGGAAGCTGTGATGGTGGTAATGTAAAAATATGTGTGAAAATGTGTTGAAGCCAACGAGTTTTTTTGTGTTCCTTCCTGATTTGTGGCTAAACTACACAACGCACGCATATGTGATCAGTGACTAAGTTGCAGAATACCCCATGGACAACATGGTTCTAATGTATGATTTTTCGATATAATCACTGCATCCACCCGAAATGGATGATGACATTTTGAAGCCTGATTTTCGATGTTTTTTGAATCCAGATAATGGACTAAACTGATTATAGGATTGTAGAACTCGTGATTTGGCTACGTTTAGTGTATATCTCATGAATGTGCTCACCGTAGCTTCTTTGCAATTTAGTTCCGAAGACGAAAATTTGGTGCGTAATTTTTTATAAAAAACATATATTTTGAGTCTAAAATTAAGAAAGTCCATTCAAATTCCGTGGAACCCCGCGTGATTTTAGTTTTTTTACGTGCCGGATCTAATGAGCCCATCCATGTTCAATTCCGCCCAATAAAACGGCGGATATAGGAACCTTGAATGTGGGAAAAACTGCAAAAACATATTTTGACAAATTCGCGTATATAATCGCGTTTTTCTTCGAATTGATTTTAAATACATTCATGATTGTGTTATCATATTCGCGAATCTGTGTGAAAATCGGTCAAAAATATATCGATACGCGAATAATATGCGGTTCTTCACCGATCCTTTTAAAATAGGCGTCATATATTTTCGAAGATTAAGGCAAAACCGTATTCCCTTAACCATACTAAAAAATTTAAAATTCAAAAAAAAAAAGTTCTGTCTTATTAAAAAAATTAATTTATTTTATTTTCAGATATCCTTATGCTTCTTTTTGTTTTTTAGCGAATATTGTACCTTATTTCAATGTGATTTGACAAGTATGCAAAGAAAACAAATGTGTTTATACATTTGTGAAGAAATTCGCGAATTGCAACAAAAAGGAATCCATTTAATATATTTTTGAAATACAAGATTTAAAACCGCTATAACTTTTGTGCGCAGCATCCAAATTTGTGAACGCGAACAGATTTCGAATCAGCATATTTTTCTTAACCTATGTACCAAAAATCATAAATGTGCTCCCAAAAAAATTTTTTTAATGGAATTTTGTAATTTCCCATATAATTTTCAACGTGCCGAAATTATTTTTAATTTAAACAATTAATAGTTTTCAAAAAATTAGAAAATTATATAAATTATAAACGGAATTTCAACTGTAGTTTGAATTTTGTGCATTAGAATTACATTAAGTATAATTTAAAACATTTTTTCAATGCTTAGTTAAAATGGAGAATATATCAGCTTACTATTGTTATAATTTTTATGTGTCGTTATAATTGCTCTTTACCAAAATAAGTCTTAAAGCTTTATCAAACATATTTAGTAAAAAAATTACCTGGAATAGTTGCTTCTTAAAATTCGTTCCGCCCATGTCTGTGGTCTGGGTATTTCTCTAGAGACACCTTTTTGCCTTTTATCTAAGTAGTCAATAACATCATCGTAGTAATTCGTTCTATAATTATACATGTATTTGTACTGCAGGAATTTTGGCCTAATATAAAATAATGCCTAAATTAATTTTTCGAAGAAGGTACATGAGGTTTCTGCTCACCTAACCCAATGTCTGTATAATTGGACAGGTTTTCTGTAGCCATCATCTTCCACTGGTGGAGGAGGTGGTGCCACATCAGCATCCGTCGTCACTGGCGCATCCGCAGATGGAGCATCGCTTGCAGACGTTTGGCTTGCTGGAGGCGCTTGAGTTTCTGTAGCCGCGGGTTGTGGTGCTACAGCGACTTCAGGCTGTTGCTCAGAATCATCAGCTCCCCATGGATCCTCTTCATCTCCCATTTCTAAAATTAAATGTTTATAACAGATACAAAGTAGTTTTAAATGAAAGGCATGATTGATAACATTAGATTCGTTTTTCACTACTTCTTATTCCTATAAATACAAAGGGAGTTGTTAGTCTGCTACCGGGCGCGTCCCCAGGTTGCGGGTAAGGGGGAGGTGGATGATCATGATAGACCAAAACAAAATATATATATATATATGGTTAGAGTCGAAAATAAGCTAAAGTTACGGTGCAGAAGATGACTGAGGAAAAGAGAACAAATGAGAGCACGTTTTTACAATTTACGCTAGCGTATGATTTTTGGTTGGCTCTGATATCAGGAAGACGAGCGAGTGTTATCGAAGATAATCTCAATCAGTCATATGTTTCCAATTATTTCATTATTATGCCTTTGACAGTATTCAACTTTCAAAATTTAAATGAAATTCCCTCCTTTGAAATGTACGCATGTCATGTGCTCAGTGTCAAAAATTGCTAGATTATTTTTATTTTATAATATTTTCAAGTCCCCTGCCTCCAAAACCTATAAATATAATTTCATGGTACAATAATACAAGGTAGGGTAGCTTGAGTTGAATAACAAAAAAGCAACTATGTAGGAGGTGGCTTATTCAGTCTTATTTGACATTTTTCAACACATAACTTAAAACGCGAAAAATGTATGAAAGTTTATGACTTCTTTCCAAAATACTGTAATACCATGAAATAATTATTTCATCCATAACAAAGTAAATACTTCCAGGCGGACGCGATAAAAAAGCCATTTTCATTTCCATTAAATTTGAATATTTTTCAATTTCTTTTAAGTAGTATTCATAACAATACACACACATACACCTTAGTATGTTTTTACACGTTAGATTGGTTCCAGAAGAAGCCGTGTAAAAAAAGACATTGATCTTATACATAAAGGGAATTCCCCTAAATTTCACATTTGCTTTGACCAGTAAAAATTGTTTGTACGCGCTAAAGGGGAATTCACTTAAATCTTTAAGCTAGTGTTCGCAAATATACTATCGATGGTTTCAGGCTTTTTTCTTTCATAAATACTTTTTTTGTGATATGAACATACTTCGCAAAAATTTAATATGACAAAAAAATTTAAGTACATAAAATTTCAAATCGTGCTAAATGTAATAAAATCGTCTAAAAAATTAAAAATATTAAATTTTCAAACCGTGTTATATCAAAACCGTGTACAAAAAGACCGTGTAAAAACAGACTTAGGTGTATACAAAATATGTATTTTGATTTGATAGAACAAGCCACCTTGAAAAAAAAAATTACAATCAGTTGGTAACTGTGCCCTACTTTGTAATAATTACACCATGTATAATTTCTAACGCCCATATTCACATCTTGAAAACAATGTATAGCTTAAGAATTTTTAAAATTTGAATTTGTTGAAAATATGTCGATCGACTTACATGAAATTTTTTGTAATTTATTGTTCTTTTTATTTGAAATCAAACCAACTATCAATTTCTCATGCCTTCCATAGTTATGTCACGAAACGTCAACAATTTAGCACCGTATTGCGCCGTATACGATCTCTTATCGATCATCAACAATATAAAATTCACAAAACAATAAATTTGCTTGAGAACAATTTATTATTTTTATTTTATAATATTTTACAAATTATTGAGTAAACAAACGAACTTAAAATGAGTAAGAAGAATTAAAAAAACATCAGCGCTACAAACTGAATTGATTCTAGAAGGACAAGTGTTAAGTTTCGTGAAAATCGGTTCAGATATAGATATAGCTACCATATGTTCGTCCAATTTCCTGTAAATTGTGCCCTATACACATAGTTTGCCCAATTAAAAATTGCCCAATCAAAAATTTGGAATATCGAGCAAGATTCATTTTAAAACAATAATAAGCGTGTTAAGTTTTACACTCTACGATCACTAATTTTATCGATAGCCAATCATAATACAAAATACCAAATTACCGCAAATTCTAAAAATGCGGATATGTTTTATTTAATGAGAACCCAAAATATCAAATAACAACCAGTTCGGTTGGAAAACACGCACAAAATCTCCAAAACCCCGAATTTTGGGGTGTACAGTTCCGAAACTTGGGTAAATATACAATGAGAACCAAATTACAGCCAACTCAATGGGAAAACGTGTCCAAAATACCGAATATTGGAGGTACCATTATATGGAGGCTACACCAAAACGTGGAATGATATATGCTATTTGCAATACCAAACATCGTAAGAATACTAGCAATGTCTGCGCAAAGATTTAGAGCTCAATCTTAAGTTTTGCGATCTCTATCGTAAGTTCAAGAGGCGGACATGTGTAAATCGACAAAGAATTTTATTCTGATCAAGAGTTTTATGGACACTTCAGCGGTCACTTACACAACTTTCGGAAGTAAAATAAAACTTTGAATTTTAAATAAATCAAACCCAAGGATTTTTTTTAATTCACACTTAATTCTTTTTGTAGTACTTTAGGAGTAAAAGCCACAAAAGAGCGGTTACTCACGCGATTTCTAATATATACCTGACTTTTTATTGTTAATAATGGGAAAACTCTGCAATGTATGTGAACTTTAATGATCTTTTTTGGTAACTTACGTTTTTGATTTTGCAGTTTTTATTTCTGCAGTGTTTGCATTTGTACTCCTTATATTGAAGTCCTTATCCCAGGAACAAAAAGACAAAATACTAAAGTGTTTTTCTTTTTATTTTTTGTCGTTATTTCACGTATTTGAGTACAATTGAAGAAAAAATTCTTTGACTTTGGTTTATCTTTTGCGGAGATGTCCATATACTGGTGCGGTCTCCGGTGAATATTTCGAGTTGTTTAATATTCACTCCACCTTATGGTGGAGGGTATAATAATGACGAGTTTTCAATTTTGTTAATTAAATCCGTTTCAGATTTATAAATATGTTCGTCCGATTTCATTTAAGGGAACCCCCCCCATTCTCGATTTTTTATTTTTAAGATTTTAAATGGGCTGGTAAATGAATACCAATGCTTGTTAAGGTTTGTAACTTTGCACATATATATTTGAAGATTTAAAAAGGAAGAAAAATAATTTACAAAAAAATGTTGTTGTTGTTTTGTTGTTGTTTTTTGTGATCAAAGAAAAGTCCTTATTTTTGATGGCGGGCATGATAACTCCTCACTGGAACATCGGAATTCGAAAATTCCAACGGTGTTAGAAAGAGTACATGTCTGGCTCTCGTATGAACTAGGATTATTGACCTCGCTCTAAAATTAACAAAATGGCGGACCTTTGAAAAAATATTTTTGAAAAATCACCGATTTTTTACCAAAAACCAAGTTAAAAAATAAGGAAGATCTTCACCGATTGGCTTTATCCTAGTTCATACGATAGCAGTACACTCACAGAGATACGTGTAAAAATTTGAAATCGATTGGGTTATTAGTTTTTGAGTTATCGTGCCCGCCATTCGCAAAAAAATGTTTAGAGAAAAACGCGTTTAAAGTTTGAGAAGCCCTTCAGCCGTCACTTGATGCTGACACAATAAATCGGCTATATCTTCAAGAGTTCTTGAGATTTTAACTTGAAATTTTGCAGGGACATTCTTGAATTAGTGTAGATTGGAATTAAGTCAACAAAAATTTTGACCCCGAGAATGGGGGGGGGTCCCCTTAAATGGTGCACCATGTAACCAAAAATTGTATACAGCTTAACGGAAAAAATCTCGAATGACATGTGTTAAATTAGATATAGCTCCTATATATTTTCCATATTATAGTTTTTCCTATTTGATCTTTGGACAGGACGGGGTCCTACAGCATACATATTTATACGTGTCAAGTTTAATTCAAATCGATCGATCGGGCAGATATATCCTGTTTTCAATACCAATCATCCTAGGAGCAATAAAAATGCATATACTAAACTTTAATTTGTTCAAGATTATAAATATTTTATGGGGTTTGCGTTGAATATTTCGAGGTATTGCAACGAAATGACAAAGGCGACATGATCCTTAGAGATCAATTTTCCATATGGGATATAGACATATACAAGTGATTTAAACCTTTTGCGTGTCCATATTTAAAAAAAAAATCCACCGGGAAACTTTCTACCCGTCTCAAAATGTCCGGAATTAAAAAGACGGATAGTCTACGATAGCAAAAATTATATTTCCGATGAGAGCTTAATATAACGGACGGGCTTGAATTGATTTAGTGATTTTAACAAAAAATATATGTGTACATAAATATTACGGAATATATTTTTTACCTTGTGTTGTATTCCTTGATATTAAAATTTACAATATTTAAAATATGCTACAGGTAAATGGTTACGACATAATTTTTTTTAATTCAACATAAAATACATTCACATACACACATTTTCTTCATTCATTTTCTTCAGAATTATTCACTTTTGTTATAATTCTAACAATTGTAGTAAACAAATACATTTTTTTATTATTTATTTCAATCGAAGGGTATTTGTTCTTCGAATACCAAATGCTCTTTTCTATTTCTCACTCACTAGAACTCTTTATTTGCTTGCAAAACCCAAAATGAGTAATCTTTCATTATTTCGACGAACGAATGGACATTTTAAATTAAAAAACAGGCTGAAAGTCTTTTTACAGTTTGTAATGTATAAGCCACATTTACACATTTTTATACAAAGTCGTAGAAAAATTCATGATATTTGCATTGGTACCGATGACAGAATGTGTTACTATTCTTTTGAAAATTAAATAATATACGCTTTAAATATAGTATTTCAATTCTGAAATACGAATTACATTTTGCAATTCACAAAATATTTCAAATAACGATTTGTTTTAACTTAACGTGCATAAAACAAAATGGATTATGTATATGTATGTATTTTTGAATATGGAACATAATTTAAAATATGTTCAATTTGTGTTAGAAACTCTAACTTTCAAATTGACTTAGGTTGATTACGGAATATCATGAATATCATGTTCATGTTGATTTCGTGAAAAAGTTTTACAAAGTAAAGTAAAATCATTAATTAGGCAAGATCCTTCAAAAAACTAAACATTTATCCACAATTAACGCCATCTAGTGCGTTTACGTCAAAATCATGCTACTTTATTATTGCAGCATATCTTCTATATCAGATCACAAAATTAGTTCAATGATCAGCACCTCCACATTCATGCACTAAAAACTTTAAAAACTTCTCCTTCCTAATAATGCGTGCTTAGTCGTGGGACAAATCTCTTTGCCTGTAAATAACTCTTTACTTTATTTCGTGTCGATACTGATGAAAATATGATTTTTAATTTATAAAAGGACATAAAATCTCACCTCTTAATGTTACTGACAAAACGACTTATTGGAAGAGTAGTATAAAAAAGACTAAATGTAAAAAATATTCAATACCGCTATTTTCGTTTAGTTCTGGTACATTACTTCATATACGAACTTAGTTAACACCTATGCGGAAATAAATTTTGGCAAATGATTTAGACATTCATATTTCATTGAAAAAGAAAATTATACTACTAAAGTGGTAAAAATCAATATGAGAATGGTCGTTGTAAATATTACATTGGTCGTGTATATCTATTACAAATGTATCTCCCTTAAAATTTTGTAAAGATAAATGATACAGACATTGATATTTAAGGTAAAAGTAAAATATACTTCTAAAGTGATAAAAACCATTATGTGGTCGTTGTTAATATTAAATTGTACGTGCATCTCTCGTTCTCGTAGTTCGCTCTACAAATTATGTACATAAATTAAATATATTCATTTACTAGCGGGCCCGGCAAACGTTGTCTTGCCCAGCAATATTTATACTCTACACCATAAGGTGGACTGTACAGATCCTGGACCTTGGTATTTATCAGAGCATACATGTGTCATTACATATTACAATATCTACAATTTGATGTTTATAATTTATTAATATTTGAATTCGTGAAAATAATTTAAATTTAATAAATTTAAATGCACATATAAATTAGATTTTTGGAATGAACTACATTTTTTCCAATATATTTATAAGACCCAGAGATGGTCCGTCAGAAATAGTGACGTAAATGACATACATTTCCGACGTATAATACATACGTCAAAACGTCGGAAACCCACCCAAAACCATTAAGTTTTTGACAAAATAGCTACTTCCATTAATCAATTTGGACATTACATTTGCTTTACTCAAATCCATATCAAATTTCAAAATTTTCTTCTCCGAAAAGTTTAGAATTTTTTATCAGTTCTAGTAAGGAATAGTCTGATATATGTAAAAATAATATATGTATATTCTTGAAAATAACAGTATATGGTAATGATATTCAAATAAATGACGTTTAATACTTTTATTACATTTTATCACACGGACCATCCCTGATTAGACCTGCTCATAACGGTAGACCAATGTGAAGTAAGCTTTTTTTACCCTCCAATATTTAAGATAGTGCTTTGTAATTTGCACAAACATTACTACTCCTATTGTTCACTTTTTAGGGTACATCCCATATAACGGCACCCCCATATTTAAAAGAATTGCATCTAATTTAATATTAGGGATACTTATTGAGCAGAAAATCTCACTACATATGTAATAGTACTCTACATTTTTCGATGCTGTGGGGGATTTGGGCAAGTTTTTGAATCTAATCAGCCGAAATTTGGCATTTGGTTGTTTTATTTGGTAGAACGAATCCTACTAAAAATGATCAATATTGGTCCACTTTTTGAGGTAGCTTTCATACAACGGTACCATTAATATATATCCATTCCCATTGTAGTAGCTGTAATATGCCACATTTTTACGCAAATTTTTCTATTTAGGTTAAGTTTTGATAATGCTCTTACATACAGGTTCCGCCCCATTTTCGTTATTATAAAGACTTTGGCTGAATTTTCCTCTACAGTTTGACATAACGGATTCCTGAGTCGAATTCGAATGAAAAACTTATTCCCAGAAATTATGCACTATAGCTTAAAGTTTTAAAAATATGCCACAAATATTTCCTGTTTAATTATCGGTATGTTTAAAACCTGAGTCCCTGTAATTTTTAATATTATTTTTTCAGAGCACGGACAACCTACAACCTCATAATGCTATATACATCGTAGTAGACATATTAAGGAATTTGTAATTTTGTAGTCTGATCTTCAATTGTTATAATAAATGTTTTTGACCGATTTTTTTTTAATTTTGCTGTTTTTTTGAGGCCTATTCCGCTCAACTTACCCATCTGCTTGAAGAAAGCACTTCTTGTCCCGATAATAGTATAGAAGCACAATGGTAAAGAACTGCCCACTCCCTACAAACTGCAGCAAAGAGAACAATTGGGTACCAAAAACCACCACCAAGAAACCCATGATACGATCAGGAGTGTCGTAATGCTACTGATGTAAAAAACGCAGCGTATAGGGCAACCCTGCAGACAGTACCAACTTATTGCACAGAACCAATAAGAGATGATGGTATAGAGTGTATACCACCTAGCCAAGATGAGGTCATAAAAGTAATTAATCGGTCCAAGAACAACAAAACACTAGGAGCCGATGGGTTTCCAGCCGAACTATTCAAGACTGGTGGCCAGATGCTGGTCAGGAGCATGCACCAGCTGATTAGCACAATTTGGCTAGATGAAAGCATGCCCAATGATTGGAACCTCATCATCCTGTGTTCTGTGCACAAAAAGGGAGACAAGACGATATGTGCCAACTATAGAGGAATAAGTCTCCTTCCCATTGCATATAAAGTGCTATCCAGTGTGCTGTGTGAACGATTGAAGCCAATGTTCAATGACATCATCGGACCATACCAATGCGGCTTCAGACCTGGCAAATCCACTATTGACCAGATTTTCACTCTGCACCAAATCCTGGAAAAGACCCACGAAAGACACATCGACACATACCACCTATTTGTTGACTATAAAGCCGCATTCAGAGGTGTTTAAAGCCTATGCAGGCTATGCAGGATAACTTTAAGTGGCACAAGGTCAGCAGTTAATGTAGGAAAGGACCTATCGGAGCCCTTCAATACCGAACGAGGATTCAGACAAGGAAAAGATCATACGAGACGCAAAGGTGAACAGAAATGGCACTCTGTACACCAAACAACACATGTTACTCGCCTACGCCGATGACATCGATATAATTGCGAGCGGTAACAGCCATTGCGAGCGGTAACAGCCACCTTTGAACAAATTGAAAAGGAGTCTGCCAAAGTGGGTCTAGCAGTAAACGGCGAGAAAACCAAGCTGATGGTATCAACGCGCAAGACGTCCAGTAGATTGGGACCAACTGTGGAACTTGAGAACTACAGCTTCGAGGTAGTTAAAGACTTTATATACCTTGGTACCGCCATAAATAAAACGAATAACATCAGTTTTGAAATTCGGAGGAGGAATGTGATGGCCAACAGATGCTACTATGGTCTAAGTAAGCAGTTAGAAACAAGGTCACCTCCCGCCAGACCAAACTCACACTTGACAAGACGCTGATACTACCTGTGCTCTTATATGGATCAGAAGCATGGGTACTTGCGCAAGCAGATGAGGCAGCTCTTGGGGTGTTTGAGAGAAAAATTCTAAAAAAAGATCTACGGGCCGATCTGCGTCGACGGTGAATATCGGCGTCGAATGAACCACGAGCTTTACAATTTATACGCGGACATCGACATAGTCAGTCGTATTGAGCTGCAGCGACTACGGTGGCTAGGCCATGTTGTGCGGATGAATAAAAATGCCCCAGCTCAAAAGGCATATAAAAATGAGCCTACTGATGGTTCCCGTAGAAGGGGAAGGCCACGAATTAGATGGAAAGACCAAGTAGAAAACAACATCTTGGAACGTGGTCTTCCAAATTGGTAGACTTGCGCACAAGACCGACGCGCTTGGAAATCGTTTTTAAGCTCGGCTTATGGAACAATCGTTCTGTAACAAGCCAGCTAAGTAAGTAAGTGTTTTTGGTAGTTGTTCTTAGTGATAGAATTTTGGATAGAAAATAACATTGTAAATTAGTTTTCTCTGTGATAAACATTTTTGGTATCGGATATACTGGAGGTGTTGTGTTTATAAGTTTAAAAACATTGACCAACGATTAGGCATATAACCACCATATAATGGTAACACCTGATTTGAAATTTCTCGTGACATAGCAACATTTTAGGTACTTTAAAAAATAATCTAGGTCATGGATCAAAGAATCAGAAATCTATTCCGAATGCCTTCTGATTTGCATCCTTGCGTTTGTTCCAAAATGCAATTTACGGATAACGTGTGCATACAATGATAGTGTGTACATTCAACGATATACTTCTCAGTTATTTTTAGTATTCTAAAATAAAATAGTTTCAATACAATGTCAATCCAATTGAAAAAATTAAAATATTTTGAAAATTTTCAATAATTGATAAATGAAAGCTTTGAGGAATGATCCACCAACCATTTTACCCCAAAATATCTAACAACAGCAACTAAGACGTGGTGCAATCAAAATAGCTCGAAACAAAATTCGTGGAAATGCAAATATGCTTCATAATAATTTTTTGCAAATTTTTCGCGGTTTTCGATTTTCTCACCGTTTAAACCTTCCCTGGAGTTCCACGAACATTTGAAGACTATAATAAGAAAAATCCGTTCAGCCGTTCTCGAGTTTTAGCGAGACTAACGAAAAGCAATTCATTTTTATATATCGTCATCTAAAATGCAAAAAGGCGTAACTAACAAAAAATTGAAAATTGACTTTTTGAATGAATATTGTGATTGTCAATAAACTACATGTGTTGACAAAGTTTTACACGTCTGCGGTGAAAAAAGGAGCTTCTATTAACAAAAAACAAAAAGACGTAACTACAATTGGGTTTATTTGATAAATGCAAAAAGGCGTAACTAACAAACATTTTTTTTTACTTAATTGTTATGACTGCCATTAAACTAAGTAACTAAATTTGTTAAAAAAATTATAGTCTAATATTCGTCATATACAATATCACCCTGCAGGGCATACTTTATCATTTCACATGACATGTTTATAGTTTTCATTCAAAACTGTTTTTGCTTCTCCTACACAATTATGCTTTTGTTAGTTACGCCTTTTGCATTTTATCTTGTCATCTGAAAGATAAAATCGTTCATGCAAGTTTGAAATTGTTTACTCAACAATCATTCGACATACAATACATGAACCAAATATTACAGAGAAAGAAGAGTATTTTCAACATAATTATTTCATGTCATGCGAATGATCAGCCCTCCCATCCTGCCTACCTTATTGATCCGAACACCAGGAAATCCATATGATTTTATATGATAGACCTATATTCAAATTACCCCACTTCACCTAACCGAACCCTTTAAAATTCAAATTCGAAAATTCTATTCTACATGGTTAAGAAAACCAAAATTTT